GCTGGCCTTGTCACCGTTCAGCGAATATTTTTGGTGGTTCTCCCACTGCCTTGAACTTGGTTCACGGTTGGAGCAGGGAAGTTTCGTTTTGGTACCAGTGGTCACGGAACCTTTGTCGAGAGCTTTGAAAACTCAAAAATCCGTCCGTATCGCCCTTTTGATTTTATCAAGATTTGTAGAAGTTGGCGTAGACCACAATATATTTTGTGAGCTCCGTAGATCCTGTTTCCAGATTTATGGTTCTCGAGCGATTTTTTGAGTTATTTGGAACGATTACTTCGCGTAAGTTGCACGTGCCTCGTGGTAAGAATTTAACATATTCTAATTGTTTTTTATCCTTATAGATCAATTTTTGATTATCCAGTTTGCTTTCGATTGGCATTAAATTGCTGCTGATGTTCGCATTGGAATTTTCACTTCCTAATTTATTGGAGAGTCCAAATCCAAATCAGAGTCCAAATCCAGATCCAAGTCCAAATTCAGATAAGTTCAGAGTCATGCCCAAGGGGAAAATGTCTCCAAATTTTTTTATGAAGATCCAACCCGTGCAAGTAACAACTGGTCCGAGTTTTAGTTCTGGTCCACTTTGCGCCCATTTGATCTCTACGTCTTACCCGAATATATCCAGCTTCGAATTCAGACTTTATGGATGCACAAAAAAAAACTAACAGGTTTGCTAGAGCATAGAGATTAAGGCAGCTCAGTGAAAAACCAAATAAAAAAAATATGCTTTAACTCTCAAACATTTTCTTATATTTTTTAGTTTTTGAAATAATAATTTATTTATCTATATTTAGGTATAATGTGAATAGCCGATTTGGTATTTTTTTAATTTATTTTTATTGCGTATATTATTCAGGTATTTTTGAGTAAGACCCCAAAACCCCGAAGATTCATGAATTTTCCCCAGGTTTTCCGTGATATAATTACCTATTTAAAGTATTACGATTTGACCAAATAGTGCTATATTTTTAACAATCCTATTCGATGTCAAACTCAAAATTTATCTTTAACTCAAATTTTCATAACTTTAATTACAATTTCCATAACTTTAATTTTTACAAAGTTTTATATATTATACCGGTGTAATTGTACAGTGTACGGTGTGTTCTTTACTGTTGTCCAGGAAAATAAAGTTTTATTTTTGGGGAGTACTGAGTATTTGTTTGGAAAATCTTTCTTATTTTCAGGTCACAGTTTCAGGTTCTTCTCAAATTAAGTTTTTTTAATTTTTTTTCTTGATTGACATATTTCAGCATTATTTAAACTGTAATAATTATGTAATCTTTCTCTTTTAAATAATTAGTGGCGTCCAAATGGCAATAAGGTCAAAATCAAGCAAATATTATCTGAACCCATTTCCCAATGCCACTGATGAAAAGCTGCCGTGCCTATATGTTTAGTGGTTGTTTTCCGGAATCAGAAAGAATCAGGAAAATAATTGCTACAAGTTTAGTAGATTTGTTTATGTTAAGAGCAGGACGTGAAGAGATAATCTTGAAGCGTTTACATTTGATGAGAAAGAAGTGTGTGATTGATTCTTGCATATAAATGGAGAACAAATCTGCCAATGAGTCAAAATTAATTATATTCGGTGTTTTTATAGATGTTTGCTGATATTAAACTATCCAAAACACGTGACTTTGACAAGCAAACAAAGGGTTACGTGCGTTTTTATTCTCATCGAGTTTTCCTGATGAATTCCATCACCGATGAGCGCCGATGAGCAGTACGTCATCAAAATTCATCGCAATTTTGTTGATGAAATGAATCAACTAAAAAACACTTCGATGGATTCTGAGACTTGAATGGGGTCTTTCACTAAAATTTGAATACGTAATTTGAGTATAAAATCCCAAAGGAGGGGCTATTTTAGGCATATATACCAAAAAAAAAAGTTCTACAAGGTTAAATAAGTTTTTTACAGGCATTTCAAATTGGCTAAATTCAAATTAAATTAAAACGCGCCGATTTGCTGACGTCACATAAATATTTTTCATTTCGCTTGTTGTTACAAAGGAGCTTACCGCCTCGGCTGTGTACCCTGTAGTAAAAGCAGGTAAAGGTTCGAATGCGCTGTTGTCGGTGGTGACTAGATGTAGTGCAACGTAAAAAAATAAAATAAAACTAAACATAAAAAATTGTATTAAATTGTGTTTAAACATAATTTCAATAAAAAAGTTATAAAATCTTGAATCCATAAGTGATTAATTTAACTACTTTTCATGATATTTTGCGAACATTTCAGAATTAAATCTATTACAAATTTTCAATGTCGACAATTAGTGGCAACACGGTCAAATTGCTTGCTGTGACGTCATAGAAATAAATTCTGGGTTTTTATTTGGAGGTAATTCTTTTTTTTCTGTTTTCTCAAGAAGGACTATGAATTTTTCAAAAGTAAAAATACAGAAAATTCTGTCTTTAGTTGCTTTATCCAAATATGCCAATTTCAAAAATTAGTGAAAGAGCCCATTGATACTCTTGACATTGATTTGTGTTGTTTGTTTGATTTGGCAAACATCATTTGGCAAACCATAACCATACAATGATTGGAAGTCTAGTGTTAATTAAGAAGAATTGTGAGCTCTACATCATCATCAAGTGATGAGTTTAGAAGTTCTTCAGATGAAATAGGAATTAGTTTTACTTGAATTGTAGAAAACATAAAAAAATACAAAATTATATTTCTTTACAATTCACAACATAATAATATATTTCTTCTGTAGTTCCTTTGCATAGTGATTTAGAAGTTAAGTCTCATTTTAGACTTATCAGGACTGTAGTGGAGGTAAGATATTAGAAATAAAATTATCTCCGAGACAGTTAGCTGAGCTTTACGAACTCACAAATCAGTTTGATTTGAAATTTCAGATATATTTCTCACTTGTCACAAAGTTAGGTAATTTGGCGCTTTTATGCTCAGAGCTCTTACGTTTGGTATGGTTTTCACACTCTCTCAGATCACTTTAACATGCCCCTTTTCCTTTTTTTTTTTGTTAAGGTCTTCGCAAATCTTCACATAATAAATATAAATGCAAAACAAAACGATGCCAGTCGGCCATCAACAACCGTCAACATAATTTTGAGGTTACATTTCACGTTAAAATTCATCAGTTCATCGGAAATGAACCTCGATGAATTCGATGGCTAATCGTACTTTCACCGATAAGTGTAAGATGAGAATAAAAACAGACCGATGAAATCCATCGATGTTTTAGTGATGAGAATAAAAACAGCCAATTGACATTTTCGCTAAATCGATGAGCACATCGGTGAGAATAAAAACGCACGTTTTGTGTGCCTCTTGTCGGACATTTTAATTTAAGTTTGACAGCATCTTGGATAGTCTAATAGAAACAAAGTGTCATCATGTGTCAAAGTCAATTATGACATTTAAATTTTAGGTTTTTATCAATTAAGACCCCTAGATATTTAATCTTTCCCACAATTTCTAGCTTATTGTTGTCAATTTTTATTTCAATACCCTTGTTTACAAATTCCCTATAATACCTGACTGATCCCAGTATCATACATTTTGTTTTCTGGATATTGATTTTCAAGGAGTTTGCACGACACCACCTATTTTTTTTATTATGTATGCTATCCAGGTTTCCATTAATGACATTTTCCATGCTTTCCACATCTGTTGAATCTGAAGATGGAAAATAACATACCTACCAATCTTGTGAAATCTTTCCTTCGTCAATTATTTTATTAAATAGAATCTTGAGTGTATGTTGTATTTTCTGCTGCCAATTTTCAGCATCTCCACTGTAATTCTGTCCTCTCCCGCACATTTATTTTTGTTTAATTGGTTAAGCGTTGCGTTGTTGTTATATGTGTGGCGACTATAGTTTTTAGTGGAATTCTTTTATTGCTTTACTTAGTTCCTTTCTGTCTTGGATAGTCACGTTTTTCTTGTTTGTTATTTCCTATTCGTTATACCTAGTGACAACTTCAAACTTTGATTATTTTCCAACTTATTTTCATTATTTATTATTAAAATAAGATTATACAGTGTCATTACTTAAGTGGGCAACATATGGGATTTTTTTTTAGTAATAGCAAAATCAAAATACAAACAAGGCCAAAATTTGATGCATGTCTGATAATCATATTAGGTGCACTTAGAATGGTTGCAAGTCAAACAGCATACAGGGTAGCTCAAAGAATATCAAAATTGTAGTAATATTTACTTAAATAAAATAAAACTTTTGCACTTTAAGGAGAGTTTTTTTAATATGGCTATTATCATTAGTAATGTTTTAACTTGCTAAAAAAAAAATTGCGACATTTTAAAGTTGTGTTGAATATCATTGCAACAAATATGAATTTTGTGATTCCATAAAAAATTAAAAATCTAAGTTAATTTCACAAATATGCTTGAATTTAAACAAAGTTATGTAAAATTGATTTGATTTTAATTAATTTTTGAAAGTATTAAGGGCGGAAATAAAAAATAAAAAAAAAATATAGAAATTATAGATTTTTTTCGAAAGAAAATAAAAAAAATCTTAGGAGGCTATGTTTTGGTATTTAGGCATAACTTTTAATTCGAAACAACTTTTCTCTATAAAATTTTGCTGAATTTTCTAGAATAAGGGTGCTTTACAGTACAGCTTTGATATTGTTTGAGCTACCCTGTATGCTGTTTGACTTGCAACCATTCTAAGTGCACCTAATATGATTATCAGACATGCACCAACTTTGGGCTTTGTTTGTATTTGGGCTGTGCTATCACTAAAAAAAATCCTTATATGTTGCACACTTTAAAAATCACACTGTATAAAAGCGCTGGGTAAAATGTTCTATCAGGCACGTGAGTTATTTATTTTTACACTTTCTAGCCTTTGTGGATGATCAAAACGAAAGCAAAAGTATTGCTTGGCATGATAAATCGTTTTTTTTTTTGTGAATATATTTTGCTCGATATTTTGTCAAATTGTTCTACGAATTTTGGACCAATCGAATACCACTTATTAATATTTATTTTTCAGGTGTGTCCAAAGTCCTGAACAAGCAGAAAGCTCTGAATGTGAACAATGCGGAAAATCCGCTCCATCTCCAGATTCCCTATGGATTTGTCTAATATGCGGACATGTAGGTTGTGGTAGATATCAAGGCGGACATGCGGCATCTCATCACAGAGAAAGTGGGCATTGTTATGCCTTGCAATTGGGTTCTCATAGAGTTTGGGATTATAAAGGTAAGAAATATTTGTGATATTTGGCTTTGTTTTATTTGTAAAAATATTCTAGGTGATAATTTTGTGCACAGACTCCTACAAAACAAAGCAGATGGTAAGTTGGTGCCGTCAGAAGGACCGCCAACTGAAGCCGAGCATGCTCAGGAAAAAGTTGACTCTGTTCAATTAGAATTCACGTATTTGTTAACATCGCAACTTGAAGAGCAAAGAATGTATTTTGAAGATAAATTGATACTGTAAGCAGCTACACATAGTTTTACTTTTGACATTATTAGAACAATATTTTTAGTTTGGAAACTCAATTATCTGATGAAACTCAACACTTGAGAAATGAAATGACTACGCTGTCAGATGAAAATAAACATTTGAGAACCAAACTAAATAATGTCACTAAAGAAAAACAAGCGCTCGAAAAAAAAATGCTCCAGCAAAATTCAAAGTAAGAATCAATTTTATCAATACTGAATGTTGATAAGTTATTCCTCAGGCTGACTTCAACTTTACACGAACTTAATGAAGAAAAACAACTAGGAAAAGCTCTAAGAAATAACCAGCAACAATGGCAAGCAAAGTTAACTCATTTAGAAGAAAGATTAGCTGAAATTCAAACAACAAAAGACAGAGAAGTGGCTGAATTGAAAGAACAAGTTAGAGATTTGATGTTTTTCATTAATGCTCAACAGGTAAAGATTGTGAGTTTTGTTAAAATGTAAAATGTAATGTTCTTTATTTTCAAGGCCATTGAGAAGTCCGAAGATAGGGAAGAGATTGCTCAAGGCACAGTTACAGTAGGTGAGAAGCCACAAACTTCAAAAAATAAAAAAGGAAAAAAGCGACGATAAATTGGATTACTCTAAAAACTGTTGAAGTATCGTCTTATGATTTATTAACTTTTTGTGTTTTTTAATTTATAGAAAACAATTATTTCGGGATTAAATGTTTTTTTATTCTAATGAGTTTTTAACATGCAGTTTAGAAATTTGAACTTTTTTGGCTCGGGATAGTCCAGCAGAAGACAGACATTTTGGCCTTTCGATGTATTACCTCTGGTGGCTCGCAATTGGGTGGTACCTTATGTTAATTGGTTAATATTTTTGGATGGAAAAGTTAAATCAAAGCTTGAAAAAAATTATTCTATGGTTTTCATTTCTATTGAGGGGGCCGACACTATTATTGGAGCTGTATATAGGCCACCAGACTATACATAGTTTATTTTTAAAACTTTTGGATGAAAAACCTAAGTTCATGTCAAATGACAAAACGTTGTGGATACTAAGAGGTTTTGATATCAACTTCAAAATATCTTATATTTATTATAAAATCGCAATACAAAATATACAATTTGCACGCTAAATTGTATTGTAATGACATGTGATCCAAGAAGATATATAAATGCTCGATAATTTAGGTCCAGTATTTAATAATAGTTTGCATTTTACATTAATATAAGACAAGTGTTCGACAAGTCGTATGCACTATTAAATGTGGCAATACTGCAATTATTTGCTTCTGCTTGTTTACCGAGAGCCGCTTTCTGGTGTAGGGCGTTCAATTATTGTTATGAACATAACTTCATTTTACTGAAAAGTGGTCTAAATTTTGTGTCAAGCAGAAAGGACCTCGCACATTTCTTATGGAAAATGGCTTTCGGCTAAATTTTTTGAAAAATTGAGATAATGTAGTTCTCGATGTCCTGATTAAAAGTTCTCATGGGCACAACTCAATCCTATGATCAGTTTTTGAGTTATGGGTTGTCAAAATTGGCTTTTTTAGACTTCGAGATATTGATTTTTTTTCAACATATTTGTTTATATTTCCTCCATTAGCACATTTAAATTAAAAGTTTCTACTCTAAGTTTTAGGCGTTTTGGTGTCTTCTTAAAACGTGGTATAAAAGTTCCTACAGCATCTTACACAAAATGGTGGCGGCAAAGAAATGTCAATTTAGAAAAAGTCGCAAATAACTAAATTCGAGCAATTGTGTAGGATACAAAAACGAACGGCTAGATTTTGCCCTACTTTCAATATGTTGTTATCAAAAGTATACCTACTATAGTTTTGGATCCAGAATGTTATACCAGGTGTTCATTTTGTACCAGGGCCCCGGTGTAGATGGTAAATGCCGACTGCAAGCGGGTTTCAAGTTCAAATGCTGTTTCAATGGGCATTATTCATTGTTTTTAGTTTACCGTAGGAATGGAGTTTACTAAAATTGATAATATTGACTAAGCGTAAAAAACATAGAATAGTCTCATCTTTTTTAAAACTGTACAAATAGACCCTGAGATAGGGCCTGTTTAGTGGAGTCATTTTGATTGCCCAAAGTGAGGCAATGAAAAAAAATATTAGGTTTATTAGTTTAAGGAGATAGGCATAAGTCTGATGGGATGGCACTCTGTATTCCTACGCTATATCTGTGAGAATGGTTATTTATACAGTTTTAAAAAAGGTCACTCACTCGTCAGTCATCAGAATATTTTATATTTTGTACACTATGGCCGTTTGCACCCACCATTCTAAAATGGGTATTCTTAAGTATACTTTTGATAACAACATATTGAAAATAGGGCAAAATCTAGCCGTTCGTTTTTGTATTCTACACAATTGATCGAATTTAGTTATTTGCGACTTTTTCTAAATTGGTATTTTTTTGACGCCACCATTTTGTGTAAGACGCTGTAGGAACTTTTATACCACATTTTAAGAAGACACCAAAACGCCTAAAACTTAGAGTAAAAACTTTCATTTTAATTGTACTTATCGAGGAAATATAAACAAATATGTTGAAAAAAAATCAATATCTCGAAGTCTAAAAAAGCCAATTTTGACAACCCGTAACTCAAAAACTGATCATAGGATTGAGTTCTGCCCATGAGAACTTTTAATCAGGACATCGAGAACTACATTATCTCAAATTTTCAGAAAATTTAGCCGAAAGCCATTTTCCATAAGAAATGTGCGAGGTCCTTTGTCTGTAAATGGCATTTTATTTAAACGCCCCTCCTTGAAATATTTTTGAATAAACAGGGTGCTCCGTGAATGGAGTATGCGACCGAACTTTGTTATTTTTAATGGAACACCCTATATTTTATTACATCAATGGCTCGTTCAAAAATCCTATATACTTTTTGTCAGAAACTACCTATACTAAAACTCAACCGTTTTTGAAATATTCAATATATATATTTTTTTAAATCACAGTTTGCATGGTGTAAACAAAAACCAACATATTTTATTTTTTTTATCCAACACCTGCTATGGTTATAGGGTCATTATTTGTGCCAATTTAGACAGGTAAACTATCAAATAACACACTAGTGTGTTATAAACCATCACTCACTTGTGGGTTATGGTTTATAACTCACTCTCTTATAACGTCAACGCAAAACGTCAGGAATTTTTTTTTTATAAATCCTGCTTCAAAAAAGACTCATTATCAAAAAGTACCTGTTAGTTTTTCCAGTTCTTGTATGCTGCTCGTATGTTATAATTTCTCAGTTGTTGGATAAAACATTGTATGCTACTCGTGTGTTATGCTTTCTAAGTCACTCGAGAAATTATACTACTCGGCCTGACGGCCTCGTGGTATAATTTTTTTTCGCGTGACATATTTTCAACATAACACACTAGTGCCATAAATAACTATTAAATGGAATGTCTTTTATTTTTTTTTTTTTGTCTTAACTTTTTCACCAAGCAATAAGATTCCTTTTTTTATAAAGTAGGTATGTCCCATACTTGGCTGTAATAATTATTATCGAGTTTCTTGAACTTTTTTCTAATTTCTTCCTTAAAATCCAGAATAGTCATGTGTATGTCAATTAGAAAAATTATTGCCATGGTAATGATACAGTATTCGCCAAAATAAACATTACTGAACATATAAATTATATAAATTATTAATTTGTATCATGTGTATATGTTCAAAAAATATATCATAGCCATGCAAAAAAGCTTCATAACTTGTCTGCAAATCATTGAAAATATTTATTAAGAGAGGTTGCTGAAATTTTTCTGAGACTTGTTTCAAACTTGAGCCTTTATTCCTCCCAAATCCGTATGACCGGAAATATTGCTCCACTAAGAAAACTGTTTCTTAAGTTGAAAGATACATAATGACGAAGATTTTAACCTTAACTTAATGTCAACCTCATAACTTATGCCAAGTAAGCGAAATATGATACATGCAACTTGCGTGCGCAATTACTCACAGCTCCAGATTTCGGTACTGCTTTTTTTGGCGGATAGGTACCGTAGTAATATAAAAATCAATTGACACGTGACTATCAAGGATTTTGAGAGAGAAAATAGAAAAAAAAATTAAGAAACTTGATAATGATCCCAGTTAAGTGGTAATCGAGAAGTAAATCACTCATGGAAATCACTGTACACTTTGCTGGGAATATCTAGGAATACTTGGAAATCTTTGGGAATATGCTGGATGTAGGTATAGTCCGACAAATACCATTTTAAAGTCACGTGATACTGGTGGCAAAAAACGTATGTCCATTGATTATGTCGTTGATATCACCTACAAAAAGCTACTGGTGGTTAATTACTATTGAATTTTAATATATGTTCCCACTAGCATTTTACAAACGCGTTTCTGGGGTGCGATTTTCGAAACCATTCGAGTACATTTCGTACACGAAATTTGACTGCTCCCCATTTAATTTACATTGCTGTCAGTCAAACTTCGTGTACGAAATGTACTCGAATGGTTTCGAAAATCGCACCCCTGAAGTAGTATTGACCAATCAGAGGGCAATTTTAATACTTGCAATTGTTGCGAGACTCACTTTTGTTGCATGTGCTGTCTGTTGTAATACATTCTGAACTTGAATTGGGTACCCGTTTTCTATTTGCTTCTTTTCGAGTTGGAAAAAGGTTAATATAGTCAAAATTATTAGCTGTGTTTGTTCGTTGTATTACTTTCGAAAATAACTTTGACAAACTAATTGATGGCAGTGACGGATTCTATTTCAGGTAAGAATATTATGAACAATAATCAGACAGCAATTTTTTTGTCAATTTTACTATCACCGCTGTTTGAGATGTATTCAACAAGGATAGAGAAAAATCACGTGACTTTAAAAAGGTATTTGTTGGACTATATATGGGAATACTCTGGAAGTATATGGGAATAATTTGGAAATACATGGAAGTATTTGTAAATTTCTATAACTTAAAATCTCAAGAATTGCATGTATGTTCGTTCTGGTTGAGTGTTCCAATTTTTTCTGGTCAACGGTTCCAGTTACCCTAATTTTAAGGCAACTGAAACAGTGACCCCTATTTTCGTATGCATTCGCATAGTAATAATTCTGAGGCGACTGGAACATATTGTAACTTATATGTAAAGATTGATTATGGGAGATGCAACAAAGTACGAGATTGGAGCGAGCGGAGAACAACAGGTACTCATCATTCGTGGCATCGGTCAACTCCCGATCCCCAATAAGGTGGGAAAATGACACATTCTCGGCCGACGGTGAAAGTTGATCGGCGAGGCGCAGCCGAGGCCGGCAAACACCGAAGGCCGAGAATGCTTTTCCTCTGAAATATACATTGTATTTTTCTTGCGATCGCTCAGTAATGAAAGAAATGGGGACTGCTTTTATGTTGTTGCGCGATCGCTGAACTGTTTTTGTGGCTAACAGAGTAGCACAAATTCAAGAACTCACCTCAAATCACAAATGGCGTCATATATATTCTTCAGACAACCCCGCTGATTACCCATCTAGAGGTTTGCCAATACCCCAAGTCCAGGAGTGTCATCCAGGGTGGCAAGGCCCTAAATTTCTTCATGACCCTGAATTAAATCTCTCCCAGTTTGACAACACTCCCAGTTTGTCTGATGTCCCTGAGAAAAGGAAAATAGCTTTAGTAGGAACTGATAAGAAAGATCAAGATCTGTTTTGGCCCGGAATATTCAATCGAGCTTCTAAATTTC